CTCGCGCGCACACACACACACACACACACACACACACACACACACACACACACACACACTGTGCCCCTGAAACGTCACCTCAAGCTTTATTAAAAGCAGAGTGATGGTCAGTAAATAGACACACCCCTCTGGACACGGACATGCACACACAAACGCGCTCTCATACAGACCGAACGATGCTTTCGTCCTTTCCCAGTGAGTCACAATCGCCACGGCAACAGCGTTAATGAACGGCCTTCTTCCCCCCCTCCCCCCAATCAACACACGTTGCTCCGCCCCTTCGCCGCCGCTGTAACGGCCGTTACGTGGCTGGCAGTAACAGCGCGGTGGTTCGCGTTAACATGGTGGCGTCACATGACCGTCTCGTGATCCCAACACAGAAGGCGGGGCATCACATGACCGTCGTCAATGTCGACGACTGTCACGTGATGGCGTCACACGATCGTAGTGGCGTGACAACAACGCATGATGCCGGTCAGTGTCACATGACATTGTGTGACACGTGTCACGTGAGGGCGTCACATGACACCTTGACATGACAGCAGTCACATGAACTTGTCACGTAACGGTAGTGTCACATGACAGTCAGTGTTAAATGACAACATGTTATGACAGGATCGCATGACAGCATTTTTTTTTTTTTAATGTATGGAGTTCTCGTGTACGTGCCGGTAAAGTTGCAAGAGAAAACTGAGGCGAAGGAAGGCCTCAACAACGATGAGGTGACAAAGTGCCCCGAGGTCAAAGTAAAAGTCACATTTGACACGTAAGACTAAAAAAAAAAAAAAAAAATTCAAAGTGAAGCTTTTACTGCCACAGCACCGCCGGCATCAGCACGCCCAACCCCACCGCACTAATTCAATCAATCTGCTGTCAAGAGGGAGAAATACTGGATGAGCTTTCTCCAGCGCTGTTTGCACTCGCCAGACCAGAAGGCCACGCAGCTATCGGTGTTCAGGTTGCTTCAGAACACACTTCTGTGGCTATTCACCCAATCAACGACATCGAATTAATTCCAATTTGTTCATTTTAGGGCGACTCTTAAATCGGCGCTTTCCGTCCGTCATTTCTACAACTGATACAATTCACCGAGTGTGTCCAATAGAGACGTTCTGTTTTGTCTTCTTCTGTTGTCATCGTTGTCGCTGCTGCACGCGCCACACTGCCCCCTGCAGGCTGTTAACAGAGTTTATCAAAGTAGGAAACCTGCAGGCGCTGAGAACCTTTCGAGTCCTGAGAGCCCTGAAAACCATCTCGGTCATCCCAGGTAAGATCGCCACCGGAGCCCAACAGCCCACCCAACCGGACGGGCGGGTTGGGGTACCACACCTACCAAGGAAACGCTCGCCATCGCAGTGTGGTCGTAAACGTCTTCCCGTGTCTCAGCCCCTGTGTGTGTGTGTGTGTGTTGAGTGCCCGTACCCCCACCGTTTCCCCACGGCCTCAGGACAACCGAAGAAGAATCACAGCAGGGAGCTGAAAACAGGAAGTCAGCCGGAGGGTGTTTGTAGCCAAGCATAGTCGCGCCATGCGCGTTTTACAAAGAGCCGAGATGAGCATTTATAACCACATCCTTGAAATCCAGGTCAAGGTCCCTGCACTAGTCTGCTCTTAGTCAATAGTAGTGAGACTCAGCGCATAGTAGAATTTTTTTTTTTTTCAACTACTACTGCCTCCTCGGCCTATTAGTACTCGATTAAGCTGGGCTTTCCATGGTGTCGGCCCTCCGGGTGGCGTCTCGCGCGCGCGTCCGTCTCGTCGGCGGATTGTCCACTGGTGTGTGCGTGTTTGTGTGTCTGTGCGTGACGCCTTCTTGTGTGTCTTTTGTGTCGTCTGGCCTTGTTGCAGATATGTCACTGAGTTTGTCGACCTGGGTAATGTGTCGGCCTTGCGGACGTTCAGGGTGCTGCGAGCGCTCAAAACCATCTCAGTCATCCCAGGTGAGCGCGCCCCTCCCCTCACCTCCATAACAACCGCCCTGCGGTAGCGTACGTACGTTAAAATGCACGTTTAAAAACCGTGCACACCGACGCTAGCTGACCTCCGTTTAGTATGACTTCCGCTTAGTATGTTAGCACGTAGCGTCAACGGCATGACGTCTACTATACCACGTGCTAAATAACAAAAGTAATAGCAACACATCATTGTGCGAGTTCAAAAAAGTTACGGGCGCTACACTTTTGAGAGTTGTTAGCATCTAAGCACGTCTTTTGATTCAAAATGCCCAGAATAAAAGTGCATGTGATTGACTCCGATCAGGATTCTTCCTCCATGTTTTCTTCCTGCGTATTTCCTTTCCCTCTTCTTCATGTTGCATCTGTCCAAAGCGCTTTTGCTAGCTTGTCTGTATTGATTTTTCAGTCATGTAATTCATGGAAATACCCCCAAAAATTAATGGAGGCAATGGGAGGGTTGTTTGTTGGCGAGGTTCCATTTTTTACCCACCAAAAATTGTTCACGTTGAAATTTTAAGTGTGTAGTCCCCCTATTAAATCTTGTTGCCTCCATTCAACTTTTGGTTTTCTTAGCTTGCTCGTCTTTGGGCTGTGTTGGGAACCATTCACTCATTCCTACTTCCTAATCACTATATTGGGATTTTTTTTTTTTTCATAAGGGCAGGGAGTGATTCCATCCACAGCCTTTATCTTTGTTGCACGACTAGAATGTACATGAGCGTTTGTTTTTCAATTGTTCTGTTGCTCTTCGCCGTTAGCTACGGGCAGCATTCTAACCCCACGCTCCCTCCATAAAAGGCCTGAAGACCATCGTGGGCGCCCTGATCCAGTCGGTGAAGAAACTGGCCGATGTCATGATCTTGACCGTCTTCTGCCTGAGCGTGTTCGCGCTCATCGGCCTGCAGCTCTTCATGGGGAACCTTCGTCAGAAGTGCGTCCGCAGCACGGCGCACTGCGTCAACGACAGCCTGCCCGCCAATGCGTCCTTCTTCTGCAACAACAAGACGTGGACGTCCATGAGACACTTCACCAGCGACGAGGGTGAGTTGCTCAGCTTTCCAAACAAACTGTCTGTACTGCTTGTACGGTAAGACCAAAATGCTATACATGCATTTGAGCGTAGGTTTTATTTTTTTTTTTTTTGTTCACGTGGGGTCACCGTCCTCTTTTTCTCCACCGTAGTATCCGTGACGTTGACTGTGTGTTTGTGTGTCTTTAAAAGGTGGGCTAGTCCTGTTGAATGACATGAAAGTCAGCAAATGAGAATGTTAGAATTGGCTAGCTATTAACTGGCTAAATGTTGACGGCGTCAGTTGAGGTGATTAGCAGGTCGTCAAAGAATGGGCTTGTTCTTTTGGTATTTTGTAACCCTTCTTCGAAGTGATTGAAAGTGGACCAGTGGCTGTGTCTATCTTGTGGAAGGATCACAATTCACCCTAATTTAGCATTAGTATTCTATATTAAATTAGTTTACAATTTTAATTTTACCGCAGATGTGCTGTTTTGTGACTTTGAACTTTGCAAAAGGCGCATTGTACTTCAGCTTCTTTTATTTTATTGTGAAATAACCCCAACCCGAGTTGTGTTCGATTTTCCTGGCCCTCGCACTCGCCTTCCCGACTTTGTGTGCGAATGGCGCCAGATGCTAATGTAGCTGGATGCTAATGCTGCTGCTATTTGTGTCTCCACCCGTCACAAACCAACAAAGCAAGCAAACAAACCAACAAACAAACGAGCAGGCAAGCATCCCCGCAGGCGTCTCTATCGACCCTCTAAAAGCTGCCGTGAAACCCGAGAGTCCAGCCACTACGCTGATCAATAGCCCAGCAACATCTACCTTGCCTGTCCCGCCACAATAAAAGTTTTCCCGTAACAATAGATATACCTATATTATACCAATGCCATAAAACTCGTCTTTTAGGGTCATGTAGTTTGTTTTTGACGTGGCACCTGTCCTACAACAATAAAAGTAACCTAGTAGCTTTTATGTAAAGTTTGATTCTACATCACATCTGTCCTGCCACAATAAAACTCGTCTTTTTAAGCGTTTTGCAGTTTTTGATAGACCACATGTCCCGCCACAATAAAACTCATTGTAAAGTAATTAACATGTTGAGAAAAATGCATTTTGCAGAAAGTGTCTTTTGCCTTCCTGATTACTTATGTGTGGGATGAATGTTGTGTTGTTCATGTGTACGTGATGCGTTCGTGTGCTGAATAAAAGATGAGCGTGCTGAAAGTTGTTCCCATGAGGCAAGTGGATGAAAATGTCAAGCTAGCTTTTAAGGTCAGAGTTTGGCGTCTTCTTATGCAACTCCGCCTCACACGGGAATGACTTTTCACAATAAAACGCCGGCTTTCATCCCGCTATCAGCGGCATCCTCCGCGTCTGAGCCGCCCACTCACGCGAACCGGCTGCCACTCAAGGGGAAGAGACTGGAGACATTGTTAGGCATCATCCCCGTGCGTGGCTTTCACATTGCCGCTTGCTGCAACTGTTTTTTTTTTTTTTTTAAATAAAACTTTAACACTACTACTTAAAACATTTTTGGAAGAGACTTTTTTTTAATGTATTTCTTAGCACCTGTTCTCTCTTTCTCATCAAGAAATGGTAGTCTAGTCAAGTCTGCTAGTTTAATGCTAACGTATAATGTTAAATGCAATTGATGGACTAACGGAAAAGACCATAAAAGTTACAGTCATGCAATATTGCTGTTTTTTTTTTTTTTTTGTTTTGTTTTTTAACCATAACTATGTTATGTATTATAAAATTGTATTTGATGAATTTTTTTGTTATTCTCTCTTGCAGAAAACTTTTACAAGGTGGAAGGTGCCAAGGATGCCTTGATCTGCGGCAACAGCAGCGACGCAGGGTGAGTCCACCTCGGCAGCGGCTTCCCGGCGTCAGTCAAAATAATCACGAAAATAAACTAAGTCAATTTTGCGCCGACCGAGTGCCAGTGTGCCACGCCGCGGGGTCATGTGACATGCGGCTTTAGAACGGACAAGGATCGACGCTCAGTGTTGACGCTGAGAGCGGGAAGCTGACACTCTGAATGACACCGCTATCAGAACAGCATCATGCACGTGTATGCGTGTGTGTGCGTGCGCGTATTAGCCTCCAGCTAGCCGACCAACTGCGCCGCATGAAACCATCTCGGGATGCTAACACGTAGCTCGCAGGCTAACACGAGCTTGCCACGGGAGAGTCGGGAGAGGACGGAGGTTCAGGTGAGGTGAGGCGGAAAGGAGGATGGATGGAGAACATGATGAAGTAGAAGACGGCTATGGGGGGGGCTTGAGTTGAAAAAAGACGAGAAGGAAGCTAAGTAGCGAAGGAGATGAAGAAGCAACAACCAGCTTACGTGGAGGTGAAGAGGAAGAGGAGCAGATGGCAGGAAGCGGAGCAAACAGATGGAGCGGAAAAAAAAGAACAAAAGGGGAATGAATGAATAGAAATGAATGAAAACGTGCAAACAAGCGAAAAGTGACAGGGAAAACTTCACTCGCCTTCAAGGGAGAGATGCCCGAGCAGCACGCAAGCTTATCGGTGTCACAGTTCTAAAATCCCACTTTGAATTCGTGCTGATGTACGTTATGTTTTAAAGACTCCTGAATTCATTCTGCTGCAACCATTATGAGATAGATGCAAACTACTCATCAGCAGAAACAAGTGGAAGGCTGCAAAAAAAAAAAGTAGAGACATGGGAAATTTTATGGACTGATGTCTAAGATCGATCTCTCCAAAAATGGTATAAAGTCCAACGTATGGAGATACAAACAAAAACTGAGAAACGCTTTCCAAATTGGATGTCTCGCCTCCATCGGCCAGATGATGATGAAAGCAGCAGCCTCCTAACTGAGGATGTGTTGGTTGCGGTCACCATGGCGACGCCAGTCATCAACCCGGTGGTGTAGTTGCAGGTGTTGCAAAAGCGTTCCCCTGCACTTGCTGTGTCGCGTGTCGTCGCACATGACCGGCGCTGACAGTGACGCTGATGCCGCCGCCGCTGCTGGCTCCCTGCGACCGGGCGCCGCACGCACCAGGCCGCTACGGCCGCCCCCGGGGGCAAAGGTCACTGAGCTAAGCCGCTGCGACATACTTGCTGCGATCGCTCGCTGAGCTCGGCACTAATTCATCATCATCATCATCGTTATTACGTAAATGAGCATCCGTCCATGCATTTTCTATAGCACTTGTCCTGGTTAGGGTCACGGGGTGAGCTTGAGTCCATCCCAGCGGACTATGGGAGAGAGGTATGCACCATGGACTGGTCGCTTTCCAATCACAGAACACAAATGTGTAGCGACCGGTCTTCCTGGTTTTGTGCGGCGAGCTGCCATGCCAACAGTTAGAAGAGAAATGTGGCCGAGGGGGGGTTGACGTTCCTGGAACGAGTGTCGTATGGACCATATTTATCATTCCATTAGCCGCCTTCTCTGCTGGTGGTCGCCACTCCAGTTTGTGTGTGTGGGGGGCATTTGTGTGTGTGTGTGTTTGTTCCTAGTGTGCACTTGTACCTTACAACATTATGTTAAAAGCTACACAGATCAATAGCGCAAATGCAACAACACCAAAACATTTTTCTAAATGGTTGTTTATTTCTAGTGTGTGTGTGTGTGTGTGTGTGTGTGTGTGTGTGTGTGTGTACTGTGTGTGTGTACTGTGTGCGCACTGCGAGCTTTGCGGGAGTCCAACCATGTGATGTCTTTTACATGTACAGCCAAACATGCCAAAGAGGCTTCCACCAAGCTCCGCGGGGGTTCTGCGCGTGCGTGTGTGTGGGTTTGTCTGCATGCGCACAAAGCTAAAAAAAATAAATAAAATACGCTTTGAACCATGGAAAGGAATAGAAACAAGATTATTATTATTATTATGTATTCATTTCACATTTTTCGCTGGACAGCCATTCAGCTAACATTAGAATCCTTCTCATTAGCATTTGTCACATTCTAGACCAGTACCCGTACAGTACTAGCTCCAATACCAGTACCTCCACAAGCGACAGTAGCAGTCCTAGGGACTAGTACCAATGCTAGTAAGAACACCAGTATCTATTTCAGCAGCAGTACAGTCGCAGTATCATTACAAGTAGAAATACCAGTACCAATAACAGTACGAGTACTAGAACTAGTATCATTGTCAGTACTAGCAGCTATGAAAGTATCCGTATAAGCAGGGGTCCCAGTATCAATAATATTAGAAGTACTAGTATCAAATTTATTAAAAGTAGAAATACCAGTACCGTCACCAGTGTGGGTCACAGTACCAGTATCAATATCAGTACCAATATAACAGCAATACCAGTCGGCATAGTGGTATGAGTTGGCGTACCAGGATCAATAACAATACCAGTATGAATACCCGTACGAGTTGCGATTGTATTAGCAGTAAAAGAACGATAGCCTAGCAGTATCAATATCTGTACTTTTATCAGTATCAGTGTCAGTATCATTCTCAGTGTCGTAGCACCAGTATTGGAGTGTATGTTGTAGTTGTGGGGTTGACAGTGTTTGCCGCCACGTTGTGAGAGCGTCTGTTGTGGTTTAGTCCCGCCCCCACAGTTTGATTGCAGCCAATCACCTTCATGCTGGCATAATGATTGGCACTGCCTTGGCGGCGGCCAGGCCGCTCGATCACACGACAAACAGAGTCTGAATGGACGTTTGTGCGTTGATGCTAATTGCTAAAGCTAAAGGATCAACTTGACGAGCAAGATGTCTGACAGCAGAAACTGTTTCTGACCTTTTCTGCCCGCTGACATTTGAGCCACTCAGATCCTCTGATTGTGTATGTCATTGCTTTTGATCAACTGAAACACACACACACGCACACACACACACACACACACACACACACACACACACACACACACACACACACGCAGACAAACACAGCCTCCTGATGTTCCCGCCACTCCGCCAGCTAAGCGCTAATTAGTTAGCATGTTGTTTCAGTCCAGCTGTCACATGCTGAACTTTAAATACCCCAAGTGGGCAAAAGTATCGGGACAGCGGTGCCTCCTCTGGGAAAATATTCAAAAAGATTTGGGGAGTGTTTTCGCCACACCAAGCACATCCCACCAACATGTTCCAGACCACATCTGCACTTTGGCATCCAATCCAAAGACACGTGTGATTTGTTGGCAAAAGATGGGACGCCACTTAAAGTTTTAAGTTTCATTTAAACGCTTTAAAGCTTCGCCGTCAGACGGCAAATTTGATTTGATTTTTTCTGAGCGAGACGAGCTGAAACCTTATCTTATTTGTCCTTGACGTTCCCAGCATGCTTTGCCCAAATGTGTGTGCGTGTGTGCGTGTGTGCGTGTGTGCGTGTGTGTGTGTGTGTGTGTGTGTGTGTGTGTGTGTGTGTGTGTGTGTGTGTGTGTGTGTGTGCGCACGCATGCACACTCGTTTTGTGTCTTTGTGTGAGTGTGTGTGTTTGTGCTCAGTCATCAGGCCGTTTGTTCCCAAGCTTGCAGACTCTAGCCGAGTGTGATTGTTCATGTGTGTCGCTCGCTCATTAGCGTTAGCGTTAGCCATCAAAGCACTGCAGTCATCGCTAACAAGTGTCTGACTCCGCCCCCCCCTGGCTCCAGAGGCTATTTCAGGAGCCCCTGCTGATGTCACTTGTCAGACATTCAACACAAGTAGAAACCACTCTGACCTCCACCAAGGCCACTTTTAACCTCCACCCAGGTCGACCGTCGACCCCGCTGTACCCAGCTCTGTTTCCGCTAAGAGAGTGATGACCTCTGACCCCCTTGGAAACTGCTGAGCCGGGAGGTAAAAATCAAGAAAAAGTTTGAAGCGTCACCTGACACCAGGGTCACGACATGCTAATGCAAGCGTGCTCGTCTTCCCTTTCAATGTCATCACGTGCCACACCTTGTGCACACGTATCATTTAAGTGCACATGAAACAAACACACGAACGTCCAAGGATACACACACACACACACAAACACGTGCATACATGCACGCTTGCATGCATTCATGTACTCACAATTGCATACAAGCAGACAGCACACGCAAGCTAACACACACATGCACGCGTACAAATACACGTTGAGATACACACATGTGCGCTTGCATACAGCGTACTCAGATACACACGCGCTTGTCCACACTTCTCCCAACAGAGGTGGCACAAAACAATCTCCCTCGGCAACCACCACAGGGATACGGTTGCCATAGTGATGCTAAGGATTGGCTTCCTACCAGGCCTCAGTTTACCTGTTATAATTGAAGGTGTGTGTGTGTGCGTGTGTGTGTCTGTGTGTGTGTCTGTGTGTGTGTGAGAGAGAGAGAGAGAGAGAGAGAGACGGGAAACAAAATGGAATGGCAGGGGAACAGACGCATGCGCGCGCACACGCACGCGTGTGCACGCTCCCCCATTTCCATGAAGTCCAAAACATTGTTTGATGCGACACACTCCACCAGCGCAAACAACTTTGTGTATGTGTGTGTGAGAGAGAGAGACAAAGTGAGGGCCCCTCTAGTGTGACTGGGCGGCTGAAGTGGCGTCCCTCCATTAATACAGGCCGAGGTGTGTGTGAGAGATAACTGCGGGCTCTCGCACTCTCACACCTCTCACGCTCGCACACGCACACACGTGGACACGCCCTCCCGTCTGCATTTTCCATATCTCTCACACACTCTGGGTGTCCTCGAGGTCCTTAAGCACACTAACACACACACACACACACACACACACACACACACACACACACACACACTGGAGCCATCAGACACACTCACATGCCACCATGTTGACTCACTTGTATGAGATGGATACATGGAAGGGTGACGTGTGTGTGTGTGTGTGTGTGTGTGTGTGTGTGTGTGTGTGTGTGTGTGTGTGTGTGTGTGTGTTTACGCGTACGTGTGTACGCGTGTGTGAGACGGCACGGCCTTGCTCAGGGTGGGTGTCAGTCGAGGCGCCGTCAAGATGACAGCTGACGACTGATTAATCACATTGCGTGTGTGTGTGTGTGTGTGTGTGTGTGTGTGTGTGTGTGTGTGTGTGTGTCTGTCTGTGCGCGCGTCACTCCCCGCCCCCGCCCCCTTTGTGAGCGTACGCGACGTTTGTAAAATCAGCACAATGTGCAAGTTAGCGTATTGTGTTAGCATCGACGTTGTGATGTTTGTGTTAGTAGCGCTTTGAAAGTACATTTGCATTGATTGCTGCTCAGCTTTTTATTATCACATCAAGAAGAAGGACTGCCTGTTACTGGCAGGCCTCAGCAGTACTCCCGTCTGGCAAACAACAACAATCCACACTTTTGAGCCGTTTGAGCATTTTTTTCATATCTCGCGAAAGGTGGAGAGGCGTTAAGCGAGGCTTTTGTCGACCGGGTTCCAGTCCCAGTTGAACTTTACCCTCAAACTTTACGTAAAACAAAGAGAATTCCACCGAGTGTATTTAAAACAACCGCATAGGTTAGACTTTGCTAACATTATGCTAATGCTAAATAGCATCGACTGTATGTTGCGGTGTTCTCTAATGCTAAATAGCATCGACTGTATGTTGCGGTGTTATAAGCCTCTCGGCAACAGACAGCGACAGACAACATAAAAGTACTCAGTCTGTTATATTATTTCTACCCTGCATAGAATGACTAATATTTGTGCCGTACTGATAAGCTGATGAGCTGCCATCACGTAACCATGGCGGGCACAACAGAAGGAGGAGCATTGATGCAGTGTGACAAAAACTGTTTAACTGTGTCATTATTGTCGGTGTTTATAAAGTATTTTTTTTTTCTTCCTGAAAATACACATCGCAACAATTCGAAAGCAGTCCGTTGTGCAAAAATGGTCCAACCGCTGTTTGAAAGCTTTGTGCATCTTGCTGATGTTGTTGGCCCATCTATGTGGGCCGCGATGGATGCGATAGGATCCGAATGTGGAATATCAATTTTGGCCGTCTGTTCCATCTCACGGGTGACATGTGTGGGCGGGTCCCGGTCACACGGCACTTACGAGCCTAACGAGGATGCGTTGCTGTTGTTTGTGTCAGGAGAAAATGGAGGGCGGGGATGCTGTCCGCCCACTTCCTGCGCGTGCTCTGCTCTTCTTGGTTACATAACATCCTGCCGCCGTTGATCACCATCAGCTAATGACAGCTGATTAAATGCTAACGTGCTAGCAGTTGGCGCGCTAACATTTCACAAAAATAGTGACACCGTTATAGCACGTCCGCCTCGGAGTGCAGAGGTGCGGGGTTCGAGTCCGGTTCTGGCCTTCCCGTGTGGGGTTTGCATGTTCTCCCCGTGCCTGCGTGGCTTTTCTCCGGGTATTACGGTTTCCTCCCACATTCCAAAAACATGCATGGAAGATTAATGGAACACTTTGTCACTGGGTGTGATTGTGAGCGCGAATGGTTGTTCGTCTATGTATGCCCTGCGATTGGCTGTCACCCAGTTCAGGGTGTCCCCCGCCTACTGCCCGAAGACGGCTGGGATTGGCTCCAGCACGCCCTCAACCTTCGTGAGGATAAAGCGGATTAGAAAATGGATGGATGGATGAATGTCACAAATCATCATCAGCCAATTAAATCTTGTCGTACCGCAGAAAGTGCCCAGATGGTTTTGAGTGCCTGAAGGCAGGACGCAACCCCAACTACGGCTACACCAGTTTCGACTCCTTCGGCTGGGCCTTCCTGTCGCTCTTCCGACTCATGACTCAGGACTATTGGGAGAACCTCTACCATCAGGTAACGTTCGCCTCCGCAGTCGCTGCGCGCTCGTCGGCGCTAACCGTGGTCGCGTGCAGACGCTGCGCTCGGCCGGCAAGACCTACATGGTGTTCTTCGTGGTGGTCATCTTCCTGGGCTCCTTCTACCTGGTCAACCTCATTCTGGCCGTGGTGGCCATGGCGTACGAGGAGCAGAACCAGGCCACTATTGCCGAGGCCTGCCAGAAGGAGCGCGAGTTCCAGCTGGCCGTGGAACGTCTGAAGAAGGAGCAGCAGGTAATGCTACATCATGAGCTACGCTAATTTAGCCTCAAACAAAAGCCTCAAAAAAGGAACTATCTTCAAACATGTATTTAGAAACAAATCTCTGAACTCACTGAACACGGTCTTCAAGACCTGCGTGACCTACTCCCCGCCTCTGTTTAACTCCTCCCACCAGGCAGCTGCACAGAAAGCCCCGGACTCTGACTCGCTGATGTCACCGGAAGTGTCTCCCTTTGGACCCCACCTGGACCTGATGGAGGAGCGGCGGCGCAGTCAGGCGCTGGTGGGGGTCGCCGACGTGGAGGCCAACCTATCAGAGGAGAAGCTGCTACAGGCGGATGGGACGGAAAGCTCCAAGGTGAGGGCACCGAGAAGAGTTTTTTTTACGGCCTCCGTCTGTCTTAACACAGATGGAGGCGATAGTCACTTTAAGACATAAGGAGGTAACATCTGTCCATCCACTTCCTTTCCCAGCCCCTCCATCCCCTGCTGGCTCGGTCTTTCTCCACCAGAACTCGGCGGAGCAGCCAGGTGTCGTCCATCTTTAATTTCCGGCTGAGGAGCCGCGGCTCAGAGGCCGAGATGGCCGACGACGAGTACAGCGTGCCAGGCGACGTGGTGGAGAGCGCCGGGGGACGGACGTATAGCGGCGGCACCTTCAGTGGGATCCTGACGCAACCGTGGCCCAAACGCCGACCCAGCACCTACAGCACCGCCAGCAGAAACTCGCAGGTAACATCAAACAGGAACATCTCGTATGGGACATTACACTATGACATCACATGTACGTACTCAGTAATTTAATTCAAATTTATCAGAGTGTAGCATATCAATACATGGAAAGGTTCACCTTTTTAGATCATTATAACTTCACTGCAACCTCTATGCCATACCCTGCCAGTGGCAGAACAAAGGATGTTTGTTTTCTTCTCTGTGGTCTGATTTTAAACCCATCTTTATCGCTGCTAGCCTCATTCTAGCTAGCGCAAAGCTAATTCATTTCTCAGGTCTGGTGTCCAAATTTGAAAACTCTCTGACATTGCTAAAATGGCATTAGGTGGCCAAACAAAGTAGCTGGCCTACTGAAAATGGACGGCATGCAATTGAACTGATGCTAGCTAGCAGGCCTGCCATTATGTTTTGCTGAATGACCCCAAAACAACCCGAGCAAAGATTTTTATATGAATATTCTTTACTCATGGTTCATGCTTACCTAAAAAAAACAAAAAAAACACTCATTGCTTAAGACCCCAGCCTATCTTCACTCTCTGCTCACCACGCATACTCTCAATCTGTTCTCAATTGCATGAACCGGTGAAATAAACTCAAATTAACAGATATATATACAGTGCCTATGAAACAAATGGCCTCCATATGCCGTACACAATAATGGCTTGGTTCCAATTTTGTGTCCCTTTAGAACTGAATCACGAACCTCATGGTGAAATGTCGAACGCTGCACTAGTTTATTAACCTGTTTTGTGTGTGTGTGTGTATGTTTGCGTTTGCGCACACGCACTTTCAGGTATTTTATCCCACTCTGAACATCAACGGGAAGCTTTTTGTTGCCATGGACCAAAACGGGGTGGTCTCGCCACCGCCCCTGCCGGGGCAGCTGCCTGCCTGCACCATGGAGAAGGTCAAGGAGGAGAGTGTGAGTGTTGCGTTGTGCTTGCGTGCGTGTGTTGTCACAGTGGAAACAATGGTGGAGACTGCATCCATCCAACACTCAGACATGTGAATTATGAATCAGCACTTTGCATAGCTGCACTCTGATATCATGAGCTCAACACACGCGCGTACACACGCGCGCACACGCGGGGCAACTCCGATAACAGCGAACACACTAGCTTAGTGCTTTGTGGGGTTAAAGGTGAAAGGAGCTGCTTGAAACCGATGTTTCCTTATTGTTCTTAACGTCAGTCAAAACTTTGTCATGACAAATCACTGCGGTAGACCACGTGAACGCTTTGCCCACTTTGACCCCTCCTCGGTGTCTTGAAAATTGTGCAAAGTTGTGTGTGGGTGCCGAGCTTCCATCCCGCGGCTCGCAGCTGAGCCGGATGAGGACGGATGGAGCTTGGTTACCACGGAATTGTTACCATGGCGACTCTTAGCCGCTAACCAGAGGCAAACAACTGGCGGCCAGCGGCTTTTTTTTTCTCTCTATCTTCCGCCAGCCTCCCCTGGCACCCAGGACGGAGGAGGCGGCGGCGGCATCGTGGGAAGTGACCTTTGGTCACCTTTGGTTACCTTAACGATGCTGCGTCATGTCGCGTCGGAGGGCGGGAAATGTTACGCAAGCACACCTGAGAACGCTACAGGCTACAAACTTGCGCAACTTTATCGGAATCGATTGATACAACAGTTGGGACATCAAAAGGCAGCATAAAGTGCATCCTTAAATCCCATTAGATTGTGTACCTAATGAAGTGGCCACTTAGAAATGGGCGCACACACACACACACACACACACACACACACACACACACACACACACACACACACACACACACGCACGCTCTGATAGCTTCAATCAAAAGCCAGCGTTAAGCACCCCTCACATTAAAGCTTATTAGATTGTGTACTTAATGAAGCTGCCACACATGTGCAAAAAATCACGTAGACAAATACTGACGCGCACACACGGACCAATCCCACACCCCTTACACACACACACACAAACACGTAAAAGAGGATTCATGTCAGGTCAAATGGTCACCGTGTGTTTGTGTTCAGTGGCGTCACCATGGCAACAGGGGATGCGGACGCTGATTCAACGCACTGGTGTACATGTTGTGTGGCATTGACATGACCGCTCGGCTGTGGTTCTGGCAGGTCCCGACGTCAAGCACGGAGCTCAGCACGGTTCTGCTCCCTCGGCCAGCGTCCACGCTGGGCTCGGAGCGTCGGGGCCGAGCGCCCAGCGCCGCCAGCCACCTGACGGACGCCATGGAGGGTGAGCCTAGCCATTAGCTTGCTTGGAATTCGATTGAAGGGATGCTTCAGTTCACCCAACAGACTCTCCTTAGATGTGATTGGGATGACGCGTGCTTAGGATGTTTTTTGTTTTTTTTACCCAACTGATCAGAACTGGAGGAGGCCCACAAGAAATGCCACCCGTGCTGGTACGCCTTCGCCCATCGCCACCTGGTGTGGGAGTGCTCCCCCTGGTGGCTGAATGTCAAGCGTCTGGTGAAGATCATGGTGATGGACCCCTTCCTGGACTTGGCTATTACCGTCTGCATCGTCCTTAACACGCTCTTCATGGCCATGGAGCACTACCCCATGACCGACGACTTCAACGGCATGCTCAGTATTGGAAATCTGGTAACGCACTCCGGCAACAAGTGACCTGCTTTTTTTTGTTTTATTTTTTGAAATACTTTTTGGGTGAAAGTTAAACTGATAGCATGCTTCGAGCTGTGTGCACTATTTGTTTTTCCATTTCCCCCTACACACACTTGGGACAAGTCTCCGGGCTACCGGTCGTTCGCAATGGACGTATTGGGCACGCCTGCTCAAGGGCATACGTGCTGTTCACCACACTTGGATTCACCTATTTGCTGATTTTTTTTTTTTTTTGGTCAATATTTTTTGAATTATTTCAAAAAAAAAAAAGGATTTTTGGGAGCGGGAAATTTTCAAAAATTCAATGCGTTTATAATGTGAATTGCATGGATTTTTGCTTTCCTCAAGAATGACTCATTTAACATGTCCTGACACGATGTTTCACACACACACACACAAACACACACACACACACACACACACACACACACACACACACACACACACACACACACACACACACACAGATGCCGAAAGGCTAAACAGCAACGGAAACATCTGTGAGGATTACAAGATTTATCCCGTGAACAATTGAGCTGCGCAGCGCTCTCTCACCCCGACGTCATGACTCGGCGTTTTCTCATACCTCAATGGCTTGAAAGTTTGCAGCGTTTCACATAAGAAGAAGTGTGTTGACGCTGCACTGTGCGCACCATGTCATGTGACTGCAGCTGACAGCAGTGCCTTTTCGGACTCCAGAGGGTGGCAAAAGTACGCACACTCGGTACTTCGGTACAGATATTGGCAAATATAACAGTGGGAAAAAAAAAAAAAAAA